GGGGGCAAACTAAAAAGGTAGTATCGTTGATGTTTGCGCCAGTTCGAGTTGTCTTATGAGTTATTTATTGCGTGTTTCATTGTACATGTTTTATATTAATATGGAACTACATGGTTGACAGACATATAACACACGTGCATCTGACACCAAGCCTTATTATTAGATATTCTTAAAAAAGTTAAGCTTACGAGTACGTAAGTGAAACTATCTGTTGTATATATATATATATATATAGGTATTTATTAATGTGACACAATTTTTAATGTTTAGAATAGACAAAGCTAATTGTCGATTTTAAACTTATTGTTAGAAGTTTTAACTTCAAGTTCCCTCATGATTTTTACCTTCACCGCATGTCAATTCAAAAATGAACTTTTAGTGTATGGATAACGCAAAAGAAGTGACATGGGTTTTTGCTAGGCCTCGAAGTTACACCCTCATGCACGATATCGGCGCCTTGACTTCTGGGCAACCACGATATAATGGTAAAGGTTAATTATGAGTATTATTTAAAATAATAATAATAACGATTATGTTAAATAACCGGTTATTACTTGGAAAGTTGAACCGATTCAGTTACAGGCAAACATTCATATTGAACCGACTCATATCTATCAGAAGTGAATGTTCCGCTCACTCTCGCTAAATTGAAGTTCTCGGAGACTGTTCTGTGTTGGGTAATATCCTTTCTGTTATTCCTGTACAATCACTATTTTAATATCCCACGGATTAGCAAGCTTTTTAGGTATTAAAATTTGCAATAAGCACTTCTTGTCGTTGGTAATTTTGTAAGATTAATAGTTTTATTGGAATGAATGGATAGCATGACATGATGATATATCTTTGATGCACATACATAGAAGGGCGCAACAGCTAGGATTTGCAAGAAAGTGTTATCGTTTTTTTGTTCAGTTGGGGGCATTGTAATGAAGTTTTAGAAAATAGGTTCATATAATTATATGTTGTTCGACAATTTAAATTTAGTCTGAACTATGAGTTTACTGATTTTCCGTGTAAGATATTAGATTTTTCCTCTATTGCGTACACTGCCCTGTCTTCCAGAAAAACAAAGTTTAATAGACTTGTTCACTGTAATTGGACTATATAGGTAGTAGAAAATGTCTATAACTACAAAAATAAATAAATTTGAAATACTAATGCAAAAATACTCGAAAGGAACTCGACAAGTAAAGTAAAGTTTTTTTTGGAGTTCATAATGCATTCTGTAAAATATTTACTTTAATAAAGTCGCGTGGTTTTTAAACGCATGCCAATTTCCAAGAAAAATTACCCGATTCCAAGTATGTCTTGGTTGACATGACATTGAAAAAGGCGGTTTAATTTTTGCTCCAATTTATTGAAACCTGTTTCATTTTGATTTATGATAAACACTCGGTAGGTAGTAATTAATGTATTGCAGTTTAAAAAACTTACATGTTTTATGATTTACGATTTCTTTTATCACGATCTGTACCGTAATTATAATGTCTAGCATAGTTTTTGTTTAAGTTAAATAAAGTATTTAAATTAAAGCGGATTCAATAAAAACCAGTGATAATCACAAATATATTCCAAACTATGTCTTGTAATATATTTAAGTGGCAATTTCGAACTAAAGTGTTGTTGAATTTACCTAAAAATGCCAATGTAATGTAAAATAATTGATTACCAAATGTGATTAAAAAATATTATTAATCGAGTGTGATTGACGAATTAAACAGTAATAAAAACTTTTTTAACTTTCATATTGTATAAAACAAAGCCATGTTTTACATCGATAGAAATTTACGACATGTCAAAGCCTATATGTTAGCGACCATGACAGGACTAACGACGAAATGAGGCGTAAAATTAATTAGATTAAATTATTATGCGCATGTTAATCTTAATTAATTAATATGATATTAGCCAGGTATAAGATTATGATTAAGATTATTTACGTAGAAGTTAGACGACTATATATTTTGATTGATAGGGACAACTCTATTACATCTGGTTTTCTGTTACATGTGTGTAATAAAAGTTATTTATCATATGTATGATATAGAAGAGAAATTATGTCTTGCTCTAATGAACAACGTTGATTTCACTCATGTTTCTTTTTTCTAAGTTTCTAAATCTTATTGTGATTGGTTAGAATGTTTTGGTAGTACACATTACAGAAGAAATAATGGTGGTTTTTTTACGGGGGAATGCTAACTGACTTCTCGAACACTAGATGGGGTGGGAGGGAGTGTTTGGCTCTTTCTGACTAAAAACCACCCTGTTCCTTTTCCTACTTCAGGCCGTTGAACCCGCAATATCGGCTGGATAAATTATAATTGTGGCTCAAAATAGATGTTTTACATATTGATACGAGAGAAAGTTAAAACAGTACAATACTGATATTACGTCTTTTATGATTAGCTCGACTTATTAACATTTCATTTGAATGGCGCTGATGTGTGTTGATAGACACACAGAAAAGAAAAAATAAGAAAGAAGTTTATTATTGTGATTTCATAAATAATTTTATGGTTTCCATTCAGTTAAATTAAATTGCACATTAATCTTAAGTACAGTTATCGATTGCAAAGATTTATTTTCTTTACATTTAATAGCGAAAGTATCAAAAAGCCTGAAGTTTGATTGTGGTATAAAATATGATCGTAAAATTAAAATCGCGTAAAGTTTATGTCATGATTGAAATTTATTTATGTAAACTTGCACATAACTACTTTGTAATCGAAAGCATTTTAAGTTGTTTTATATGGCGGCAGTCGCCATTAATTTTATATGATTTGAATAGTAATACGAGTCATTAAAACTTTCAATTTTGTTACCTCTACCTAAGTAAAAAACTGTAGTTGCAAATTGAATTGTAGGTACATGCAATTTAATAGAAATATTTATACCTAAAAATTTGTTGTTATTGATATATGTATGTAGCTACAAAACCAACGAGTGGTTTCGTAATAAAAATTCTAAATATTGATTTATTTATGCTACAAAAAATGTAATAAATAATTAATGTCTTCGGATGTTTTTAAATATAGTTTTAGACTTTAATCTTTAATAGCTGCGTAAATAAACATTGCTTAAATAGCCTTATCTATCAATACGTCTAGTCACAAAAGGGATTTGAATGCGCGCGTGACGCTAGATGGTGCAACTTTGACTTCGAGTATTTGCATGAACCACGAATTAGGGACGACCAGATTTCCACTCGAACTTAAATTACACACCAAGCCTTTATGAAATTTACTCATCATAGTCATTATCGATCGATTATTATCAATAGTCGATAATACAAATTGCTCACGACAAGATAATAACGTGCTTCGAAAGTATTATTTGATTATGACTTTAAAAACCCTACTTCGTGTTGTCGTCGTGAATAATTTTCTCCGTTTCTTCGACTATTGACTGAAATATTGTGTTTGTTAAAATGTATTTCGTGCATGCCTCTGTAATTATTAACAATAATGGTTTTCTTAAAATAAATTACGTAATATGTTACATGAGATTACAAAAGAAAGCGTGAGAATTTCATAAAAAAATCTGTTGGTTGAAAGGTAAGTTCGTGTTATGAAATATTAAGTTAAAACGTTTGGTTGTGCAAAAAAATGAAGGTTATCATATTGTACTGATGTATGGCTAATAAATAGAATAATTGAATAAGTCTAGCTTGTTCATAACTTATAAAACATTGATAGATTAACGATCTTATATAAGATATGATCTTGATATGGATAATTAATTTCAATTGAGAATGAAAGTCTATGTCTAGCCATCGATCTAAGATGTAGATTATGAGTGTATGTCACACTATGTCCTGTCGATAAACATCGGAGTTATGAAAGCTCGAATGATATATCAATCAGGTTTTTTTTTCTAAATATATTTTATTTATGCTAATATTTGTTGAATTAAGCACCAGTAACTTTCAAGACACATTATTGTTTTTTAGTTTTAGCATCAACGTATTACTTAAAACGCTAGATTCTATAAATGTATTGTGCCCAACGGAAATCATCTTTGATTAAAATTAAGTAAAGAATTTGGAAAAAATCATTATCATCAGTGGTTTAACCAAGTGTGGTTTTTGCGTAACAATTCCACTGAAACCTTTGCAACTCTAGTTAGCCAGGATCTATGAAAACACTAAAACTTCCGATGGACCTACACGAGCCGTATTGTTATTCAATCTATAATTTATACTATATTATAAAAAGGTTAAATTTGTAAGTTTGTAAGTTTTTCAGTTTGAAATTTGATATGTAGGGGGTTATCTTTGGAACCGCTGGTCGGATTGCCAAAATTCTTTCACTGATAGATAGCTACAATGTTCTTGAGTGTTATAGGCTATAAACACCACGCTACGATTAAATGCAGCTGAGCAGCGGGTGAAACCACGCCAGAGAAGCTAGTATTGAATATAAATAATTGAACAAAATATTTTTCCTACGAGGTTAATGGCAAGCGATCTGTCGTAACAATTATTTTCTTAAAACATGTACGGCGGTGTGTCCTGTCGTTATATATTAGTTTTGCAACATTGGATGACAAATTAATAATATAAGGCCTCTACCGGGCCGTGATACCTGTGTGTTAGTGGATTCACGAGTTGACCGCGTTACGCAAGAGGTCACAGCTATAGCTACTGAGCATCGTGACTATGCGGCCTCTTTTACAGTTTCAGTAGGTCAACCACAAATTAAAAAAACGCTTGTTAGTACTGTACAGTTTTACTTTTAATCTATATTACTACGTTAACCCTTAAAATAATATTGTTTGCAGAGTGCATAATGTGAGGTTGCTTTACCTTAACGCGATTAAAACGCTACAGCTTTCAGAGGGCGTTTAGCGGTTTTTTTTTATTTTAAAAATCGTTGCCCCACACTTTGTTTCTCTTCCGTGTCGTAGGCGCGTTTACAAACATAAAAAATACTTAACAGCCAGATCTGAAACAACAACTTGAGCATCACACATAGTGTTGTTCCGGGCGGGAATCTAAGCTGCTACATGTTGTACAGCAGCCAGTTGCCCAGCCACGCCATCCATGCAGGTTTAGCCTGATTGATGTGTTTGTTATCTTGGAATAACCCAATCAGAGCGGCGGACGTGATAAACGTGTTGGCTGTATTTAAGTAAAGCAAACTCACACTAGGATTTGATCAAAAATCAAATAAAGGTAAAGTATTAAAGAAATTGCCATTATTCAAGTGTACGACGTACCAACCTACAGAGAAGCAAATATTTAATTAATCTACAAACCTTCGTATGGTATCTCTACACATGATTATTTTGGATAGATACGAAGTATTTGATTAATTCATCATCATTGGGATAATTGAAATCTTTAGATGGGTTGGTATTAATGTAGCGCCAATAGTAGCGCTCATGGCACAAGTCACGACTTTAAGATGAGTCGATAAAATAGATCAATAAATATCGAGCTTGATGAGGTAATCTCACGTCTCCCTTCAAAGGTAGGTAGGTAAATAATATATATAGTTAGGTATGTGTGCGTAAGACAGAATTAATTTGATTAAGTTAAAAAAAAACTATAGATTATTTGTTACTTTTATTTTGTACATTGAGTTAAATTTTTAGTGTATTGTTAAATTTTTTGACCGCTTGTCTATCTGGTCAATCGCCTATACAGAGTAAACGTAAGCGTTCGTTATTAATAAAATCACAACATCAAAGTAAAATCAAAATATTGAGGACAAAACTAAAATTATCCATGTTGTTTTTCAACAGTAAAACTTATCAATTTCAACTTTAATTCAACATTCGCGCGCGTTTATATCTTTTGTTAGCGAGCTTTTAGTACAACGCTCTTTATAGAAACTAATACAATCCTTTTCATCATTTGTATTGAATTTAGTTGCAACTGTTATACTGAATGTAGGTAATGTATTAATACAATTCCAAACCGTATAATCAATAAATCCGTAGCAATCATAAATCTTACAAAATCCCCATTCAATGCTAAGTAAATTGAAAAGATAAAATCGCTGAGCTCAAAGTATTGATTCTTTACGTTGAATTGATTATGTATGAACGTGAACATGAAACAGTGGCTAGATGTAATTATAATTATACGATAGACTGGCCAGTTGATGGATGGCTATAATCAAATTCAGTGGTTCACTGAGTTGCGTTCAAAGAAGAACGAATAATGCCTTTAAATCGTTATTACTACATTTTACTGAGCCTAATTAAGGCACAAATTGCCAGTCAATTTGAAGCTTACATTAAAATATATTATAAAAACTATTTACATTTAAAAATCACACAAATATTTATTGAACGATTAATTTACACTATGGTAATCAATTTTATTTTTTGTGTTTAATTAAAATGGCGCGTTTTCTTGAGAGTCTTGTCTGTCTCTATATGGGAACTTTAATGAATCAGATTGTACTAAAAAATGACGAATATTAAAATTTGGAATTATGATTCATATTACTTTAATAGTATTTATTACTTCCAAGACTTGAGTATTCACAACTCAATCTACATTGGTTAGTGCTATTTACGCGAGCGACAGACTGCTAATTTATTATCCCCCGTATTTCGATATTATTAAAAAACTTATAAGATAACTTGTTTTAAAATAAATAGCAGCAGATTAAGTTACTATCCGTTATGTCTTTGATATCAATAAATCATTCCCTTTGAAAACGGTCCGTTATTCTTTGGATAGATTTGCCAAAATATAATTCGTGTTTTACTTGTAGCTGGTTATAAAAGGCAGCTGATAAATATTGAAGTCATACGCAAGAATAATGGCGCTCACCATTTACGTAATACTGTTCCATTATTGACACACAAAAAATATAAAGTAGTTCCCACTCACATTGAAGTCAAGTTTCCATAAATTGTTTTATAAATATGATCATATCGAAAGTGGTTCAGGGACCACAAAACTGCTTCTGTCATCCGAGAAACAGACACCCATGTTAAACTTCAAAACAGTTTTTGTGTATATATTTTTAAAACCTTAAAAGTATATTATTTTTGTTGCCTTCGTATGTGTATAAGTTTCAGTAGAATTGGTAAATAACGCTTAAGGCTTGTGTTTTAACAACAACATATCCAATGTCCATGTGATTAATGAATCAATTCAATGTTGTTCATAACTTTGGGTTTGTAGTTGAAATCAAACCCAGAGGTTTATTGAACTATTTTATTTATACTCACAATGCATGTGTTATGAGTTTACCAGAGCAAGTATTTAAGTATTCTTCCGTGTTAAGTTAATCTTCCTATTTTTTTTTTTATTTCATTTCACTAAAATTCGAATGAATAATGCTGATAAAAAACAATTGAGTAAAAAAATGCTAACATTTTAACATCACCCCCAACTAAGGTTAAAAAAACTTATCATTTAATCATTGTATTCAACCAAAAGAGGCATGCACCGACATCATAATATGTAGTAACAACTATATTTATTTACGTGAATGTGTGTAATGGGCATAAATTGAGACATATATAGAGAACTATACTTCAATTTTTTTACTTAAAAGTTTAAATGTTAAACCATTAAAATGTCGAATGAAATACCAAGCCAAAAATGTTTCAGTTTATTAACTGCCAGAGTTATTAAGAAAAAAAATATAATGCATTGCAATGTGAAAAATAACTATATGTGATACACCCAGTTGGGGTTTTTCTTTTATCAGGGGAAAATCATCAAATGACTTCCTCCGCCCAGGGTAAGGCGAGAGGAAGTGTCAGACTCTTACTGAGTAAATCACGCCCCCGTTCCTTCTCCTGCTCTATGCCAAAGTCGCGGTGCCTAATTACGCTTGCCCCGGATACCTAGTCTGGGTTGAGAGGTTAAAAGGGAAGATTATGATTTGGCTTATCTAGTAATAAACTGCCTTCATTTTTGCATATCGTCACATAAACTATTTTCATATGCGACGGACTACAAATCTTAATACAAATCACAAGATATTATGCAGCTTAAAACAATATATGTATTTACAAAAACAACCAGTACGTAAAAGCAAATAATCGAATTCAAATAAAAACTCAGAACACGAAAATGATTTAAAGGTTGGCCCTACTTATGACGGCAAATTAGCTATGTGGTTGAGAATTGAGATTAGAGCAAGGTTAATCCGATAAATCAAATATTAACTATTTGAATTATCAAATCGAACTTGATTAACGTCAGTTCAAACAATGACAGCTGACAAAGAGGTTGAATTTGACCGTGTGGATTACTTGATAGCGTGTTACGAAACCGTTCGGGTTTCTTAAATGTTTTGGCAAAGAATGCTTTTGTTTTAGAATTATGAATATCTACAGGGAGATTGTTTTACTGAGGGCTGACTTTGGATAGTCAGATAAATGTTATCTGAGAAATAAAATTGTTGCTGTCACTGTCTTATACAAACATTCTGACGCGACACCACCATAATTATCCCCCAGGTAACTTTTATCTAACCATTGAAAAATCAGCCTTTAAACTGTTAATGTTCATTGTGATGACTTTTATTTTTGGATTAAAGGTATTTTTGGTGACCGAACTCTCTCTGCTTTATACACTCAAAACTATTATAGTAAGCCAATAATATTGTCAGTGTTAAAAAGTTTTCGTTTTAGATCCTATAAATTTAAAATTGCAATTAACAAAGTGCAATAATTTTTAATAAAAACTGATACGTCTATCTCTACTTATAACGGATTACGTTGCTAGGTATTAGTCATGCTCTGATAACTTTGTGATTATGTTGTTGTTAAGGGATGTGATCTAAGTAATTAGAAATCAAATGATATATAATGAACCTTGCCTAATATAGTTAAAGTATTATTTTTGATAGTGATGTTATTAAGTTTGAGTATTAAAGACATCTAAAATTTTGCTTTATAGTCAGCAATCTGGAAAATGGATTCAGAAAAACACATTTTTTATCGTACCACAAGAATAATTAATAAATATATGAATGGGTAAATACTATAAGCATATTTTTACAAATATAAAACTCACCAACGGAACCCCAGTCGGGGTAAGCTCTGTTGTTGAACCAGCCATCATATCGCTGCTTCTCGTAGTACACTTCTGGAAATAAATAAGAACAAAATATAAGCCATTTAAGTCACCATACTTAAAGTACAAGGCTAGCAGACATACTGATATATAGATTTTACGATACGTCAAAGAAAAAAGTTGTATTTTAGTTGAAATGGAAATGAATGAAAAACATTATTAATGCCTCGAAATACAGATAACTTATCAAAATAAAACTTAGTAATAATAATATATCGTTGCTGTATAAATATGAAACAGTTATTCGAGTAAATTTTTTATTAATGATCTGTCAAACATCGATGTAGGTGTTTACTAAACTCGTGCAATGAATAGCAAGGAATTTTTATTAGTGGGCATAGTTAATTAACGCGTTGAGGCAGGTTCTAGTACAGGTGACGGCTAATTATACTACATTTCCATTATAAATTGACCTCTCTGTGTACGAAAGGTTTATATAATGCAAGGTCAACGTGTGCTGGGAAATTATGGGTAGATTTGTGGTTGTGTGTAGGTATAGAGTTTTTGCAGATTTGAACGAGCGTGCTAGTTGCGTGCTCGACCGTTCCTATCGAGGCCTTGCTCTGTCCGCTGTAACCGAGATGCATCGCAATGAGCTCCTCGTTACGCATTTATTAAGTTCAAAAGTTGTTTGTTTTTAAACATATATTAGTGTATATATGTACTATTAAGTAGCTGTTAGATCACTCGATATATTACCCTATATTTTATAACCTAACACTTACTTACTATTTTTGTTTTTCGAAGACTCTAAGTCAATGTTCAAGCGACGTCTTAAAGTAAAAGAAAACTTATTTATTAGGTAACCTAATCTCTGTAGTATATTTTTTTCAGTACATTGTAAACACACATTGAGCTATCACGCACATTTTATAATAGAATTGGTAAGAATTTTGGGTATTTAGAAAACATGTTATAATTATACAAGAATGATAAATCTGCTAATAAATTAGCTAACAGACTTGATTGCGTACAATTTAGTAATTAACAATGTAATTGCCCTTATTTACGATCAATATATCACTATTTAAGATATCTGGCCCTCGAAGTTGTATATAGATCGTGCTAATAACTCTTCGATGTTTTGATGTACCACCCATTAACTGGCTCGCTTATAAATTACCTATCTGTTTAAAGCTGTTGATTGCTAAAGATCTGCAATACAACTAGGTTTAAAATGCAACAAATCACATAGGTTCACAGATTCTAAAACATCGTCTGTCATTTAAAAATGATGAATGATACAAAAATCTTTTATGTACTATTTTTGTCTCAGGAGGACGAAATTGTATCTATTTCTTTAGAAATTAATTATTTGTAGAAGATGGAATTATCCTTTAGTCCATCCGTCAGTAAAGCTAGATGCTCTATCGAAAAAGTCGATTCTGATGAAATTGAGTTAAAAAATAAATGTAAATATTGAGTTAAAAAATAAATGTAAATATTGAGTTAAACTTGAATTTAAAGGCAACAAAGGTTAAAGGACGTAAGCGGCATTTTTTGATAATAACTTGGACTAATTTCTCTTTAAAAACATTCTGATACGCCTAATATTTAAATATATGCGTATATATGTATAAAGTGCTCAATAATATTTTAAGGCTTTTATAAATGATCGCAAGTAGACACAATAAATTACTGCAAGTTGTCACATGGGGACATATTATCGCATTAAATCTAGAGCTTGGCCGCGAGGACATGCCGACATCACACCTACGAGACATTTGGAATATTTATGGGTAATCCGGTCATATGACGCAATCATCCATTGAAAGACAGTGTATTTTACATTGCAAGATCAATTAAAACAGGAATCATTATCAGTCATTGCAAGTTAACTCAGGACGTTGAGATAAAACTGATTAATAAAACATTCTTAACGTTTCTGTAGATAAAAGAAAAAGAAAAAACGAGTATGAAATGGAAACTCACTCAAAAGTCATGCGGGTTTAACCGTATGACTTTTACCTAAATATATGTAACGTAACATCGTATAGTCTCTAAGAATACGACTTAATACATTTTTTCTAGTAACTATCGTAAGACGAAATACTACTAAACTTGTTAAAAATAACAACTTGTTCGCGTAAATTAACCGACAGCCAAGAATAAGAGTCACCGGGACTCTTATTCTTGGCTGTAGTAGTAGAGCTTTTCTCAGTTATTTTAAGTGAGTAAGTAAGTTGTTATTTCAAATAGTCCAAAGATGTAACACCCCATTTTCACCGTTAACTTACCAACTTAATTAGGGTTAAACTTATGACCTTTATAATATAATATGCCATTAATTTTTTCACCTCATAAATCGAACTTAAAGTTTAATAAACAGATAAAGTTGTCAAAGACACGTTCAAGATTGTTTACGATACAAATCTGAAGTAAATCAAGGCTTTTAACAATAGTTACCTTAACATAAAATATTAATCATATAACAGTGTTTGTATTTAATTATTGCATTTAAAAACGGATATAGGTACAGAACGCTTGTTGCTGGGACACCTGTGCGTGCGCATTTTTTACTCCATGCATGTTTCATGAGTAATTATGGTAGCAATAATCGATTGAAAAATTGTTATAAAATGTCAAGTGAATAACTATGATATTGCATTAGAATTACAACATGACATAGTTTACTATGTACTAATAATTCATCTTAGTTTGTATTATATGATATAGTGATTATAGTGTTGGGGCTACATAAGAAAAAATAATAATGTATCAGTACCTATACCACCTGCGGTGTATGTTTCTATGTTGCAAGCTATTTATTAGACTAAGCCTGATATATTAGGCCTCTCATTATCATAATTTGTACTGGTATTAGCACAAATTGGAAATCTTTGGCGCTGACATTTGTATTAATGATTCAAGTACATTTTGAGTCAGTTGTTAGATTATACGTTACCCACTATATTATGTCGTAATATAAGAACCAAGTTGGCTCAAATTGGGTTTGTCAAGTGACTTTAAAGTTTTACCTTGTGGGTGTAAAGTAAATAAATAAATGACTGACGAAACTTGTCATCTATGACAAAGAATGATCAATATTTGACCTCACCAGCTGACATATTTGATTCACCAAATAATAACAAACTTTGAACCCAAGAGAGTCTAGTAGTAAGTTAGACACTGTTTTATTGGATTACTAGCGACCCATCCCGGTTTCGCAGAGGTGCAATGTTGATAGCAAATGTATTCACTATTTAATGGATACAAAGCATCCTCTTTAATGAACAAAAACTGCAACAAACGCCGTAGCGTAGTTTTAAAGACTTAAACACACATTGGGATAAAAGTGCAGCGAAGCGTCTTTGTTTTAAGTAAGGACACAGAAATTGCAATTCTATTCCGTTAAACTAAGCTCTGATATTCTAATCCAAAATATTTGTATCTTAGAAATATTTTTATTCGTCTTCATTTCATCCGGAAGTCTTGCCCAATAGTTGTGGTTGTGGTTAAAGTTACTAAACCAATAACACCGTATAGTTTGTGGTTTAATGCCGGCTTATTAATGCACGCATAAATAATTAATGAAGTGTATCAAGTGTCAATAAACAGTTAATAAACAACTATAATGCAGGTGGGACACTTGGCACTATAAAACTGCAGGTTCATAATTTCTATTTAACATTTTACAAACCTTTTTGTAAGGTAATTAAATATAATAAACACCTTTTTAATTACAAGCTTTTTATCTTGTGCGATAGAAAGCGGTGCTAAACACGACATTTTTCCTCTGATTTAGGGTTAATTTATATATTAGTACTCGTATATAAACATGTAACAAGTAAACTAAACGTATACACATTTTTCAGCTTAATATACAAACTTAATCAGTTGAGCTACTTCAAAATAGAAATAGCAAGTTAAAAAAAAAACAAAAACATATGCTGATCGAATTTTGCAGTAATATACTTGCTTGCTAAATTAGCGAGTCTGTTATTTTTCACACTTATTTTAATGTATGTGTAGTCAAATACAAATACATTTAAATATTACATATTTGACTTTCAACTTTGATGTAAGCCTGTTTGTTAGTCAGTACGATAATTAGATAGATAGTGGGCGTGACATGAGAGAGATCTCTATTTGTACTCGCAGTTGTTCTAGTTTCGTAATATGTATCGGGAATGCGGCGTCACAATCACATACAGTATGTTGTCAATGTCATGTTGAAAGATTTGGAGAGAGCACAAGTGCGGACAGGGGCTGGTATGTCGTTGTTCTAAACCGGTTATGTACTATTGATCAGATCAAATATCGAGTGACAGTATTACTTACATTGGCATCGTCAAACAAAATCGATTTTATCAAGTTTTTGAAGTGATTGATTGCCAGTTGACGGATTCAGATTGTTCTTGTTTCATGAATGGTTTGTGTTACGCAAGTTTTTATATTTTTTAAGGCTCATTTTCAAGGTACTGTTTGCTTAAATATACAAAAGCATTCAAGTGATGGAGTTTGCTTCGTTTACGTGACACCTTAAGTTTTGTTTACAAGATTCTGATCCACACCATGCGAGACGAGAAAGCAATGATGTGCTTTAAATAATTGAATGCAACAGGCAAGAAAATTGATCTATGTAAATAAGGTTTGATTTTCAGTCTTTTCGTATTGATACTGTGTCGTCGAAAGAGTCTAAAGTTTCTAAGATAAGTGTAAATTTTTTATAGTTGCATAATTTTTTCTTGTTAGTTTATTTTGAGTACTAAAGCTGATCTAAGTCGAGATGGTTTTATTAATTAGCAAAAAGTTTAGACTTATTTATTTATAGCAAAACCTATGATAAGAAACCTGTTTTTTCATACATATTGCATACGAGTATTTAAAGCAAAATACTTAAACAGTAAGATATGAAATAAGGTCTTTATTTTAAATAATGTTAAACATATTCGTAGCTGTTAGTCTAGTTATTCTCAACTGTCAGAGATAAGTGGGTTACTTAGAGTATATGCATATAAACATTTATATTTATTAGTTCAAATTGAATAAACGAGGCAATAACAAATTGA